GACCAGCGGCATAACTGTTGTCATGGCGACGGCACAACGGGTGTCATTTTGTTTCTTTTGTGATGTACATTTCTGGTGCCAAGTTTAAAGAACACTGTTGTAATATTTCTAGAGATATTCTTGATTGAGTGTTGAACTGTTTTAGTGGAACCACCTATGACGTCATCACTTATAATACAAAAACGTGAATTCATATCTCTAAAACGAAAAAAGTTATTCCAAAAAGGAAAACCACATTCTTCTTTACTTTGAAAAGCCTTTCAAATCAGCAGCAATTACTTTTTACTTCATAGGCACTTTAAAGTATTAGTGGTTTGGGCAGCAACTCTTCTTGGAGTTTGTTTTAATTTATGATTGTGTCACAAGTTGAATGAAATATTTTGCTCTGTGTAACACCACCTTGGTGATAGAAACTAGAAAATATAACTTGGAACATCTTGGAGACAAGTATCACAAAACGTTGCTAGGCTAATATCCAAAACCCGTGATCTAGGACACCATGGTTTCCATATAAAGTACGAAGCTCTAACATTACTTCTCTGATGTCTTATAAATCAGGTACGGCCTGCCACGTTTGGACAATGCTGGTCTTAATGTGGATTCGGGGAACTTCAACAATCCACTAATACGGTTAGAAGATTGACCTACTCCTTTTAATACTGAATATATTTTTTTTTATTTTAATTCTATTTTGAGTGTACAGTTGAAAAATTTAGTTTTCCAATTGACTTGTACATCTCAATTTGTGCCACTACTACAGCTACAGTGGATGGTAAAATAATTTTGTGCTCAACATTTAAGAAATAGAAAACTTGTTCCGTGTTTCTATCAAGTTAGTAGCACAAGATGAAGTTTATGAGAATGAGAAAGGCTGTGGGAACATGAGCTGACAGGTCAGTGTTTCCACAGCTTTTTTGAGTTCTCTCAAACTTTCACAAAATTACTGTAACTCAAGAGAAACAGCTCAGAACATGTTTTCTATTTCTAATTAACAATTAGATTATGAGCTTGACATTCTTTTGAGCTTTTGTTATTCAAGAAACTGTAAATGCCCTCCTCTTAGTCTTCTCAGGAATTTTATTATGCATTTGTTGCTAAATGTTCTTTTAAAACTTCGGAGAAATGAGGAAACATTGCAGTTTTGTTGACCACACCAAGCTGCTACACACTAATGACTGATAGTGTGCAATGGATCAGCCAATCAGATTTCAGCATTTGCATTAGTATACTAGTAGAATTCTACTAATTAGTATTATCACAACTAATTTTACCATCAGACTCACTGCCATGGCTGGAGTGATACTCATGCAAGCCTGGTTGGCATGGAACTTCATTTGTTATCAGATCCGAGTGTGGCGTGAACGAGCTATTGCTGCCACACCCTCCAAAAAGAAAGAAACCAAGAAGAAGAACAAGAAAGAAAGTGACAAGAAGAAAAAGGACGAAGCTGTCGCTGAAGAGAGTGAGGAAGCTGAAGCTGAGGAATACGAGAAGAGGAATGGCTCACCAAAAGCTGTTACCAAAGTGAAGAAATCTTAAATTATTACGTTCATGGCCTGTGTTACGTAAGGGAAACCTTAGAAATGACAACTCAAGTCTCTCCTTATGAGAGGTATCTAAGGAAGATATTTGTCAAGAGTGAACGGTAAACAATGCCTTCATGTGTGCATTGCAAGTGAAGGTTTTGTAGACTTCTGCTTCTCTTGGTGACAATAGTGATGTGAAATCCTTGCCTTGCTAAGAGATGCAGAAAATAATTGTGATAAAAACCTGTAATGTTTGAGTGTTGTTTCATTGTCTGTACAATCTTGAGAAGTTGTTACTGTGTTGTTGTATACTGTGTTGTTTACATACTGCGGTTATTTACTGTCATAAATACATGTAGACCATTCCTGTGAAAAGAATGTCATGGATTTCTAGGCAATCATTAATTTATGTGTACAGTGGAACCTTGTTAATATTACTACCTGGCCGTAAAATTCTTGTCTTGTTTAAGGATCACAAATATATGACTGACCAATCGTTTAAACCCAACTAAAAACAAGTGGCAGTGATAACGAGTTGATCATATCGACAGGCTGGTTATAAGGCAGAGGTCCACACACTGTTTGATAATACAGAGTAAATAAGATCTTATTCTTTCGGTTATGAAATAAAATAATATCAATGTTGTGATAGATACCTCACACAACATCAAGAGCAGCCTCTCCTATTCTCAAAAACGTTTAAACGTTTAGGTGTTCTTGCGGCCTACTTCTTGTAGAGTTCAGATGGAAAATGGAAAGTCAAAACAGGGAATTTGAAGGCTGCTTTCCAGAAAGGGCTGAAAAAATAATTAAGGGAATTAGTAAATTCAAATATTTAATGAGCCAAAATGGGTCAAAGTCAAAGACCAAGACAGTTTAAAGACCTACATTTCAAATGAACAAGTATTGTCGGACCGTCACCCCATGAAAATGTAATTAGACCCTAATTATCTTTACAAACACTGCCTAAATAACTTTATCTTTTATTCTAGTTTAGCTGTTTTGAGGACAGGAGAGATGCATAATATTTTCTGTCACAGGATATTGTGATCATTGATTTAATGGATATTAATTTGATAGAACTTATTAAGTTAATTTGGGGTTATAATCACGATTGATTAGCCTTAAATGTGTATTTTACATCCGCCATTTATCTCACATTAATTATTTAACATTTTACTCACATATTCTAAATATTGAACTTTCTAACATTTTACTTTATTCATTTCCTGAATCTTACATTTAGTTAAACAGAATTGGTGGCAGTTGTCCTAGGGATGGGAGGGTAATGAACTACACGTTGCTGCTGGGGTTGGGGCGGGGTGCTATTTTTACTGCTAGTAGGACTGAGTAGAGTAGAATTCAGAGAGAAAACATCACATTATTTTTTCAAATGACAAGCACAAACGACTTAAACGATACAAACAGAATCATAGACACACCAATAAGGAATTCCAAGGAAGAAGAGCAATATGTTACAGTGAAATCCCGATTTCTCGAACCTTCATTTTTTCGAACCTCCCGATAACTCGAACCAAAAGTCGTTTTCCCACCTCAGTCAAATACTGTAATTTTACCCCCGATTTCGCGAACTATCCGATTTTTCGAACCAATTTTCGTTTCCCTTGGAGGTTCGAAAAATCGGGATTCCACTGTATGTTTTTACTTTTCATTTGACCCAATGATTTTGTGAGCAAATATTTATGTTTTTCATTTTCGTAATCACAATGAGTGATCTCCCTTTTTATTGTGTAAGATACCTGCAGTATCCCACACTATTTTCATTGGCTCGTGTCCGTTAATGCAAATGATTTGTATCCCACACATGTACCCTTTGGGTACCTATTTTTTTTCCCCTTGCAGTATTCTCTAAAGGAAATAGGGAAAATTTTCTCCCTAGAAGTTTAGTTGAACGCGAAGAAGCTGTCCCAAAATTCCACTCTTGTTTCAAAAACTTAGAAGAAGCATAGAAAACGTTGAATTTTCTGTTTCTGAGCTATTTATCGTCAGGTATCAGAAAAGAATTTGTGGATTGACCATTATATTTTTTAGTGGAGCTGGGCTATTTTTCGGCGCAAGGGTTTTTTTCTCAAGCTTCAGATCTTGTAAGAGGTTTTTTCAATTTGTTACATGTGGTTCACTTCATGGTTTGCTTTTCGCGACTTTCTTCTCGGTTTTGCTTGCGCGGTAATTTTTGGGGGGTATTTGCCCCCAACCCTCCTCCCTAAAAATATAATGGTTCATCCCTAGCTAGCTTACGAACAGGCTCCCGGCGAGGACGGAAAATGAGAAACGACGAGCGCGAAACTGAAGAGTTCGGAGAGCAAAGCGGTCGGGGCGGTCGTTCGCGCTCGCCGGGAGCCTGTTCGCAGGCTCATCACAAGCTCAAGTCTTTAGCTGAGTTAAGTCGTGTGAAGGAATCTTCTTTGATTCATAACAAGTAGTGCGAGTAGATTTGGATAAGAGCGACCCGCAGATCAGCACAGTTTGAACACGCCCAGTAGCAATGTAATGCTAGCGGATGGCTGTGTAAGGATAGTAAGAGGAAAATGTCCCTAAAAGGAACGCATTAAAAACCTAACCGTGAAATTGAAATTATCATCCTGGTGTGTGTTTGTGTATGTACCTGTTCCTTGGTTTTTCTACCTTCTAAAGTTGTTTTCCGAGGTAGGTTACGCAAAAGTGATGTAACATATACCCAGTCTTCTTCGTAGCCGTTATTAGGGTTGCGTTGCGTAACGGCTCATATATCGGTGCGAAGAAGACTTGTCAGTTTCCTGATGGTTTCAGAATGTTCATCGAGGAGGTTGCTGTTAGGATCTTAACACGATCAGGGTCTTCATTCTACAGCGGAAGCCTGATTTCTTAAACCGTCAATTTCAATAACTCGAACAAAAAGTCATTTTCCTTGGAATTGTTTATACCGATCTCTCGAGCCAAAAGGCTCGCTTTCTTTAGAGGTTCCAGAAATCGGGATTCCACAATAATGACATAATAATTAAAATTCTCAAAGAAGAAGAGAAAACTTCCTGCCTTTTTCTTTCTGTCAATATTAATGTTTTCTTTTGGTGTACCACGCTTTGCTGTCCACCATTCCATTCGGTTTCCGTTAGCAACTGAGCACAATTTTCCGTGCGCTATCTCACGTGATATTTAAGATAAAGACTTGATGACGTGTAGAATTAAAATTCTTCAGTGATGGAAATTAAAGGAGAAGAGAAAACTTTCTTCCTTTTTTTCTTTCTGTTAATATCAACATTAGGGAAATCACAACTTTCCGTCTTCAGCATTATCGGACAAAACTCATGGAGATTTTTGTTGGTGTGAAACTAAAATGTCATTAACATTGTTTTGTAGGAAGCTGACATGGTCCGTATTAAGATATATCCTCTAAGTGAGTTCCGCACGAGCTTAGTTGGGATTTGTTTCCCTCAAAACCTCTCCTCAAGCCATCGCCTTTCTTCTATAAAAATTTACGCAAAATAAAAAAAGGGACCCAGGACTTCCCAGGAGATATTTTCTTACCACTGGTAGTGCTTTGGCACCCAAAGAGTTTTCCCCGCAAGGAAACTTTTCTGCTGAGAGTGTAGAGATACGTTTCAAACTTCGCACAGAATCAGATTAACCCAATAGAATTCCGTTCAACTGTTGAAGAGAAATGTTTTTCACTTCAAATTGTTTCATGCCCCATTCCGGATCGCTGCGGTGAATCCTCAACAGCTGAGTTCTCCAAAGAAACCAAAACCCTATCGGACCGGACCAGGAGCCTCCCCGGTAGATTTTTCAGCTTCGCGCGTCATACTCAATTAAGGGTTAAGAAACTTCCTCGCAGGTTTTGCAGGGAGCCTTTCTTCCCCTCCAATCAGTGCAATGCCTGAACAACTTGGTTCTTTAGGCATTGGGGCGAGAAAACTACCCACACCATTCTTGGAAATTCCTTTCCACTAACAACGTCAAACCCCAAGATTTACTACCCAAAAAGGTGGTGGATTTTTGTTTTTTTTTTTCGGGCTAATTTTTCCCGCGAATATTTCAGTTACCGGTGTGATGTTCTCTATTGGACTGTCTACTGACAAGTCAATTTAAACCTCACCCTCAGCTTAACGTCATACGCCCCTGAAAACCCCGGAATCTCAAAGGGAATTTTCTCTCTAAATCTGGTCATATAATACTCCCTGTCGGACTGACCACCAATCAGTAATCCCATCCTCCAGAATGGTCTGGGTATTTTAAGATTGAGTGTGTTCACGTGACGTCATCAAATTTTCAAGTCCAAAACTAAAGGTCCACTAAAGGTTTTAT